TGCATTTCTAAATTGAAATTCCTAAAAATTTAAATGGACTGTTCCAAATTTAAAGCAGGGCAAATCCATTACATAAATTCAGCGGGGTAAAGGTTAAACTGTTTATAATGCCAGCATCAATAATTTCAAGCCTATTGCCTCTAGTGTAAGGCTAGGACAGCCTGCACATTTTATGGTCTGACTAACTCTTTCATGTCTCTTCTATTGTTGATTCATTTTATTGTATTTGGATATTAAAATCCCATAAACTTAGTATTGGGGGGGTTTCAAATTAATCATAGCAGGGTAGGTAGAATCAGCAAAAGTAAGGGCTAAAGTAAGGCAGTATATTTATTTCGGTCACAATTATAAAGCATTTTACTAACATACCTTTTCAAATTTTATCAGATTTTATCAAAAATGAAAATATTTTCTTCAATAGCAGTAATCATGTTACATGGAAATGAGACTGTGAAATTTAAGATATGTTGCATACAAATATGTGATGGCTATAAAAACTATATATTCAGAAATGATGGCAGATGAAATGTGGAATTTGATATTTTTATGAATGAAAGAATAAAAATTATAGTGGCATACATACATCTCTCATTTATCATATTCTAACATATTAAATTCAAGTATTCAGTGTACATCATTTACATGGAAATTTTACAGTTTTATGAGAATATAAGCACCTTCTTTACTGTATTTTAATGAAATTGCTAATTTGAAAATAACAGAGACGTGACATGAGACATGACAGCATTTATATTGTGCTTTTGTTCTTCCCATGCTCCTTAAAGGACAAATAATTTGCTAGTTCTTGTACAATTTATAATAGCCTGACACTATATTGGCAGCCATAATGCCCTGATGCTAAATTGGTTGCCAGGATTGCCTGACACTACATTGGTTGTCAGGATTTCCTGATGCTATGTTGGTGGCCAGGATGACCTGACACTATATTAGCAGCCATAATGCCCTGATGCTGAATTGGTGGCCAAGATGGCCTGAAACTATATTGGTTGTTAGGAATTCCTGATGCTAAATTGTTGGCCATTTGAAAGTTGACCTGACACTATATATTGGCAGCCAAAATGACCTGACGCTATTTTTGGTTGTCAGGGTTTCCTGATGCTATGTAGGTGGCCAGAATGACCTTATGCTATATTGGTTGTCAGGATTTCCTGATTCTATATAGGTGGCCAGAATGACCTGATGCTATATTGGTTGTCAGGATTTCCTGATGCTAAATTGGTGACCAAGATGACCTGACATTATATTGACAGCCATAATGGCCTGATCCTATTTTTGCGGCCAGAATTGCCTGACACTATATTGGTTGCCAGAATTACCTGATGCTACATTGGTGGACAGGATGGCATGACACTATATTGATCGCTAGGATGATCTGACACTATATTGGTGGCCAGAATGGCATGACACTACATGTATATTGATGGTCAGGATGGCCTGACACTATATTGATGGCCAGGATGGCCTGACACTATATTGGTGGCCAGAATGACCTGACACTATATTGGTGGCCAGAATGGCATGACACTATATTGATGGCCAGGATTCCCTGACACTATATTGATGGCCAGGATGGATGGCCTGACACTATATTGGTGGCCAGAATGACCTGACACTATAATGATGGTCAGGATGGCCTGGCACTATATTGATGGCCAGAATGGCATGACACTATATTGGTGGTCAGACAGGCCTGACACTAAATTGGAGGCCAGACAGACCTGACACTATATTGGTGGCCAGGATGGCCTGACACTATATTGATGGCCAGAATGGCCTGACACTTTATTGATGGCCAGAATGGCCTGACACTATATTTGCCAGAATGACCTGACACTATATTGATGGCCAGAATGGCCTGACACTATATTGATGGCCAGAATGGCCTGACACTATATTTGCAAGAATGACCTGACACTATATTGATGGCCAGAATGGCCTGACACTATATTGATGGCCAGAATGGCCTGACACTATATTTGCCAGAATGACCTGACACTATATTGATGGCCAGAATGGCCTGACACTATATTTGCCAGAATGACCTAAGACTATATTGGTCGCTAGGATTATCAGATGCTATATTGGTGGCAAAGAGTCATATCAGAATCACTGCTAACAATCATCAAGGTTGATATTACCAGGTTAAGTTAAGATCAGTCAGTATGTTTAAACATTTACATAATGTTTTGAATGTCTTTAATGCTTTATATTATAGGAGAAATTATGCAGATTTTCCCCTTTTCACAAGGGATAATTTGTTTCACTATCAGTCACAGGAAGGAAAAACTAAATTTTTGGTGCACATTGAATACATTTGAAAATTAAAACATTAACATTAAAACCAAAAGAAGGCCATGATGATAGAAATTCACACTTAAAAGTTATAAAGCTATATACATTTGTATGGTGAAATAATTTTATAAAAGTTTTATCAGCAGTAAAACTATGTTGTTACCATAATCTTGTGGTTGTTTCTTAAAAAAGAGCTGTATCATGATTGAGAATATCTCTGCAACTCAACACACTTGAATGTTATATGTAAACAGAATACAATATATTTTACCCATAGCAATTATTTTAGCAATCCCCTCTTTAAAAAGATATTCATACAGGTGTTATGGAATTAGTTTTCAAAATTCAAACAATAATTAGTTAAACTACAGGCAGCAGATATCATAGCTGTATGTAAACACTTTAAACATGTAATTTATATAATATGATTTCAACCAAAATGGAATAACTGCCAATGTTTTTGAGTTTAATTATATATAGTGTAACAGTTGTGTAATGACACTCTATGTCAGCTTCAAAATTGATTTAAAGATGAACATTTTATTGATCTGAAAAGCCTTTCAATACATAAATTAGATTAATATCAAGTATTCTGTTTGATAAGTTAATGGGTTGACCACCAAGACATCTGTTCAGCTATTAAATGTACAAGATTGTACAAGTTATCTCCCTTAATACATAATCTATCTATAGTATTATAATGATAATTGTGAGGAGGAATGCTCCTGTAATGCTTCTAGCAGTAGATGAAACAATCAGCTAAAACACATATCATTGCTGTGCTTTTAGTATGGATTATTTTAAAAGAATGAGTATTCTTATGTATTTTTTTTTATTCATTTTAAGTGGCATTGGCTCTGTAGGTTCATGTAGTCACTATACTCAACTGGTGCAGGGAGACAAATCCTTGGTGGGATCCTGATCTGATCTGATCTGATTCCTGGATAACCCTTCAGCTCATTAAATAATAACCAGTATGCAGTATTAAAGAAACTGTATCAGATTTGTGTGCCTGTTTTAGCAACTATTTATTGAGATAATGACATTTCCAACTATATAGCTTGATTTGAAGACTCAGCAAAAAATGTTAGTGTTTTCATTAATTGAAAATTCTCTTAGGAATTTAAGGTTATTGAAATTAAACTTTCCCAGTTCAATCAATATTTGAGGTACTTTCTTGCATTTATGTTATTTTGAATTAAGTAATCTTGAAAATCATAGAAAAAAATGTATTTCAGAATTGCTGAGTTTCTAAAAAAGGAAAATAACATTGCTTTTAATTCTATTTTATAATGTTTTGTTTTACAAAACACTGGAAGGAAGGAATTTCCTTTTGCATTTCTCAAAGCCTTGATTTAATTCTAGAGTAACTGGCAGAAATAATGAAAGGCCTATGGCAATAGTACATATAAAAATCTGGAAAAGGGGTGATCCCTTGGGAGCAATGAAGACAACAAAATTATAAGAAAATTACAGGCTTGTTTTGATTAAGTCTTTTTATGAGAGATAATGTAAAAGTACAACATCTCTCAAGCTCATATCTTAAACACTAATATGCTGGAATCAATGATGAGCCTAGGTTTAAGTCCCATGAAGATGATGATGTTTTGAGATATTATTCTTCTGGGGAAAGTGGAACATGTCAATTAAGGCCCCCACGGTTACACGTTTAAATGGATTCGTTTCGATTTTCATTCGTAAACATTTACGATATTTTTTACTGTTTAATCGAAATGACCATAATTATTGTCTTACAAAATTTCTTAATCATTGTCTGTACTCATGGATTTTATCAATTCTAGTTGTTTCTTCCAAAGTAAAAAACGGAAAATGGGTGTGCAAAAATTGCTCGTGACATAATACATTTTTGGTAAAAAATGGGGATACAATGCAGAAAATGTGTGCTGACTTAAGCGTGATGATCCCTGAACATTCTTTATTTGTACATGTATTAAAAAAAGAAAGTAAGTCATCATTTGGCGACTCAAATACATGGTGTATATAGTACATAGAGGTACCACCGTTTAAACGGTATCATTTCGGTTCTTAGCAATCTTGTAAACGTTTACACAAAATTGTAAACGTGGGAGCCTTAATGTCAATCAAGCTTTCAAGAGAGCATAATGTCTACACTTTTTTACTTTTTTTTGCCAAGGTAGCCTGCACTTTCCTAAAACCTAGCCAGACTCGATAGTACGTCATGTACATGTATTATTTAGTTGGCTTCTAAATTTTACTCCCAGATATGTTTCTTGAAATCTTTTAACTTAATAGTGACCTTCCTTAAATTCAAAGCACAGCCTGTCAATTACAAAAAAATCAACTAAGAAATGTTTTAATTGAAATTCCTGCTCAGCATCTGTGAATATACAATCTATAAAAAGGCATGCATCATATAAACAGGTTGTTTCCCTACATGGTAATCAATACATTCCAGGCATTGTATAATGATTACAGTTTTATACCTGCATGCTATAAAAATGAAAGTACAATCAATGGTGACCTTCACCTGTAACAGCTGTGCCGGCTATGACTGGACAATCAGTTCTCTAATGACAAAAATCCCCTACAGACACATCAACATATTGATATATATTTACATTTTCAGCTGCATTCTAGATTTGACAAGTTTAGAAATCTGTTGTTATTTATTCTTTAATTATCTCTAATTTCATTGTTATTTGTAGTGAATTCATTTTGATAAGCATGTGGATTAAAGTTTGAATCTTCGGAAAATAACTAACCGTGATTCATAAATCATTGTGTCTGACACATTGATTGTTTTACATTTCCTTGATTATATCACATAAATGTTATCAAGTATCATTTTATGCAAGCTTATTTAAGCAGATTTCTTTAACTGCATTTAAATTCAGGTGGAAACAGGTGTTATTTCTTAGCTATCTAAAGCTAACAAACTATAAATAGACTGGAAAGGTCTCTGGGAGGCTAAAGGCAGGAATCTATGAATTATGAGAGACAGGAATAATTTGAACTTTATAATGTTTGGTGTTGATTATCTTGTACAGGCTAGAGCAGCTACAAATGTATACTTGGAAAAGTCACTCAGTCAGGTACTTGTTGCTCTGAAATGATTAAATTTTCATCCTAACATATTTATTAATGGTTTTAGAGCATGTTAAATACTTATCACATGAAGGAAGTAGCGCTAAATGTGAAATAATTTGTCATGCATAAAGGTAGCAAAATGTAAAGCATTAAAGAATTATCTATACTTCCTTGCAAAATACTAAATCACTATAAAAATGAACTTCTTGCCTAAAAGCAGCAGAAGTAAAAGATGGTTCAGGTAAATCGCCAATAAGTAACTACTGGGCACCAAAATAAAAAGATTTTGAGAAATAAAAATAAAAGTATTTCTGTGGGCCTTTAAGAGTTTGAAGAATATTAAAGCCATGTACTAAGACAGGATGATGAAAGGGGATGAGTTTAATAATTCTAATGTGTCATATTATATAATTATATTCATTCCTTTTGAGAATAGATATTTCAGATTCTGATTCTATAACAATCTCACTAAAGTCAAATCTTTTTTCTTGTTGTAGCAAAACAAGAACTAAAGACTATGCTAAAGGAGCTAAATTTAATTTGATTAAATCAATTAAAAATTTTTGTTGCATATATGTTAATGTTATTTTAGTAGTAAAAAAACAATAGGATATGGTTTTGTATAAACAAATTAACTGCACTTGGAATGTTTCTGTGACATTTTCAGTTTTTTTTTCGTAATCAATAAAATGTTAGAGTTAGATGTGGAAGCTGTTTCTCTGCTTTCTAGCTATGTCTATCAATAATTTATCACCAATCAATTTGCAATAACTGATAAGTTCCAGGTACACTTCCCTAACCTTGTGTACTTGCATCAGTGAAACCAGAACTATCATTTCTGCATCAGTTGTAATTTATGCTATTATTTTGGAGTAAAAAGTAAGTTTTTTTGTAAACAATCTTGGTATTTTGCGTGAGTATTATTTTTTTACGAGTATTATTATAACTTTTTTTTAACATTTTAAACATTTAAATAATACAAATTACATTACAAAACTTTTTTAATGATATAAATGATGAAATTACGTAACAAAAATATTTTATTTTTAAATTGGAAACTTGTACATTAAATGGAAATTTCAGTTTTATGGAAAAGCGTTATTAATATTACATATTAGTTGTAACATGGAGATTTCAGATCACAAAATTTAAGACACGTTTTAAGAATAGACATATAATTATGAGGAAAGAATTTGTTTTAATATATTAAGATTTCTACCTTACAATAAAAGGAGATGAACAACTTTGATGAAGTTCATTTGTCAACCACAAAAAGTCATTTGTGTTGTAATGAGTAAGTAATTCTAGGGAAGGGATTAGTGTCTTGTTCGTTTCCATAGGAACAGACAAAGTATGTTTTGTCAAATTCATTAGTTACAGACATAAACAGTGACAAATAATTGAATGTAAATTTGTTTGTTTCAGGACCCACCACCAGACACAGAGGAAGGAGACTGGTGTCTTGTTAGTTCCCATGGTAACAGACATAAACTGCCAAAAACCATGATCTTCTTGGGGAGAGAAGAATGTGATATTGAAGTGCAGGTAAGTCAAGGTCATTTGAAATTGATAATTTTCTAAAAATTGTGAAAAAGACCAGAGTTTGTCTCTGATAGGGATATTTTTATACCCCCGCACAACGAAGTTGTTAGGGGGGTATACTGGAATCAGCTTGTCCGTCTGAGCGCACGAGAGGGTATGTACTAAATACCCAACAACTACCAATCCTACTCACTCTGTATGTATTGTTGGGTATTTTTAATGAATTTTGATGTATTGTTGGGTACTTTTTTACAAAGTAAAATACCCAACAAGAATACTAATGTAAGTATGTCCGGCCAACTGGCCGTCCGGCGGTTTTTCCTTGTCCGCCCAATAACTTAAGATTCCTTTGAACCACAGGCGTGGAGGTTAGTCATGATGAGTAGATGACCTCTATTGATTTTGAGGTTACTGGGTCAAAGGTCAAGGTCACAGGGGCCTTGACTACAAAAAGCTTGTCCGCCCAATAACTTAAGATTTCTTTGACCCAAAGTCTTCATATTTGGCATGGAGGTTAGTCACAATGAGTAGATTACTCCTGTTGATTTTGAGGTCACTGGGTCAAAGGTCAAGATCACAGGGGTCTTGATTATAAAAGCTTGTCCGCCCAATAACTTAAGATTCTTTTGACCCACAGTCTTTATATTTGGCATGGAGATTAGTCATGATGAGTAGATGACCCCTATTGATTTTAAGGTCACTGGGTCAAAGGTCTAGGTCAAGGGGCCTTGACTAAAAAAAAGCTTTTCCGCATGAATCAGTATGCATGCATCACAGATGCTGAATATGCATTTTTTTTAATTTTGTGATAAATTATTTAGTTTTCTTATTCTGAATTAAATGGTTATTGATAATAATAGAAACTTTGTGAAGTAAACTCAGTTTGAAACATTTACAAAGCATTTATACAGCAGTTCAATCAAAGAGAGGTAATCATTTGAGGGCTTCAAGTTTTGTTTGCAGTTGTTATGTCCCTTTATAATGTAAATATTAAATAATCAATGAGGATTTATTGTGATATATTGTAATGTTCAAATGATAATAAGACATTTACAATGGGGAAAACATGTCTAATAAGATATTTCTCTGTAAAGGTCTACAAAGATTTATAATGATAAAATTGGTTACGTTCTATAAATAGTGATTTATTATTTTCTATCAAAGTTCCCTCCCTTGTATTGTTTAGTCATGTGACTTCATTGACCTGAAAACTACATGAATCGCCAGTTAGAAGTGAAGTGTGAATGATATGATAGTAACTATACATCTGAAGGATTTACAAATTACCTCATTTACGGGAAATTAAATTAGATTCGCCGTGTGATAAGCTATTAAAGTGGACACTTTACTTTGTGACGGTCACTGCTAGGTACAGTCTGGAGACTTTTTCACTTTTTCAATATTTGAACATTACTGTACAGTAGATGTGTTCTGTATTGATTTTGTAATTAGTTAGGGTTTTGTTTATGTATTTTATCTAACTTGGAATAAGTAGATCTACATGTGTATTGGATGGTTTAAGGTATTTAAGAAGGAATGTGATATTTATGTAAATCAGCTGTCATTTTCATGGTAGTCTAGGGGGCCTATTAGTAGAAGAAATACAATGCTTGAAGGCATGAATTTCTAGAATGTACTGACTTGTTAAGTACTACATGTATTATGTGGTGATATTATCACTATTTTATTTTATTATAATATTGAATTCCATAAATTATAATGGACAAGTCCAAATTCAAAGCTGGATAACTTAAGTCCAGTACAAAAATTCAGCATGTAAAGTCAATGTTAAGTGTATATCATTATAATGATAAAAACAACAGTAATTCAGACTACTGTTCAGTAATAGCAGAAGGTCCAGGATGACATTTCGATAATTTAATTTGGTTTTGTTCTCAATACAAGTCCTTTTTCAAAAGTCTTTTAAATGACATATTGGCATCACTTCAGTCTGTACATTGTCTTTTAGAAATAGGCTAGTTATTTGTTGATATCATTCAAATTGTGAATTGTATGGTTTAATTGTTCACTAAACCAAAGATAAAAATATTTGGATTTTGTGTTCTCATCTTTTTTAGTACCTAAAGGAATAAATATGATTATAAAGGTTGACCATAGTACATCTTTATCACTTTGTTTCATTATTGGCACATCATGTCCTGAAAAGAATATACTTTTATATACTGTTTGTAAATGCTTAACCTGGATATAGAGACACTTAGATACATGTAGGCCTATGTATAAAATTTAAGTGAAATAAAGGTTTTTTTAATCTTTTGTTAAAGAACATGTATATATAGACATGAATTATTATAAGACTGTAACTGTAGATTTAATGAAATAAATAGTTTGATGATAGTTAGGCAATATAATGGTAAATAATTAATAAGGAAATCAGGATATTTATCAACTGAATTTTAAGGGCAATGATGACTAGCCTATATGAGAGCCATTCTGCACAATCATGTAGTCTGACTAGACTGGCCAGATTCTTAACTGCTTTGATGTTTTAAAATCCTTACAAAACTACTAACAGATAGTTTCAAAGTCGAAGCTAAACAAAACCATTTATTACAAATTATTATATATATACTTTCATTTCCTGTTAAGTAACCTACAAAAAATCTGAAATACATTTTAATATTATGCTATATAAAACATATAAAAGTCAGTACCAATAAGTACCAGTTACCTAGTATGTCTTTACTAAACAAAACATCAAAAAATATTTATATATTAAACTATTATATCTGGGGCTACTTCAGAATGATTCTGTTTGAAGTTAAATACACATTTAAAAGTAAATACTTCTTAAATCGCTTGTAGCATTCAATATTGAAATATATTTTCAATATTTGGAATACTTATTGGTCTATCTGCAAGTTTTTATCAATGAAAATACCATAGGTAACCTATACCTGACCAACTGATCAAATAGAGAAAACTTTTAAAATCGATAATTTTTCAACTTTAATATACACACTGAAAGCAGTAAGAAAGTAAACAGTAAAATGACACCTTTAAACTTGGTGATAACATTTTTGTAACTAAGTTCAAACATGTCAGAGCTGGGGATTTGTAACTATTGAGAAAAAAAGTGGTATCATTGGTTAAAATCTCCCAATGATCCATTGATCTGCCAGCTTGAAACTTGAAATAGCTGTTTAACATGGCATAAAATAGTTATTTTACTCCTATTTTCTGACCAACCCTTAAATAGTGTTTTTCTTGCTCCTTAATTTTGTGACTTTGACTGACACTACCATTATTAATTCACACAATAAGAGCATTGATGAAAGGCAATAAATAAATATCCATACTAGTAAACTATCTAGTTTAAAATAAAAAAAGGACGCAAAAAAGAAATGCAAAATCACAAATTGTAAATAATTTTTATAAAGGAAACTTGACAGAAACTACTTATATTCTATTTGGCCTTAAATATATTATAAAAAAAAAGCTTGTATTGATTTGTATAGTTTCAGATTAATGAGCTGATAACCTTTAGATCTTATTGATACTTAATAACTTATATAGGATTAAAATCAATTCTTAATTAGAATTCTATCAATCTAAAGTCACCTGTTTAAAAAATCACCTGTCCAAATATAGAGTCAGATTTATTAACATAGTAACATGTCATATTGGTAAATTTATATTTAGAACATTCCTTTTAATAATTGTATTTCATGAGTATGTCTTTGAGAAGGCACCTCATGAAAAGATGCTTGTTTGACCAAACTTGGTCAGATACTACAAAATTTTATTGTTTTTCAAGGACAGAAGTGGTCAGAAAATAGAAATAGTTTTTTCCCCCAAGCAGTACAAAAAAGTAATAATTAATTTAATGTTGGTGTTACAGTTAGTTAAAAGTCATCATTAAGGTGTAAGCATGACCTAGGATGATCATACCTTAGGGAGACATGCTTGATGTATGAAATGTAAAATCACCAACATCATACAAAGATTCAAGGCAATAAAGATAGCCTGGTTTGTCATCAGTATAACACTAAGTCAACCTGCAAGTTTTGCTATGAAACTGGCACTATCTTGTTGACTCTTTAATTTATTGTGTTGATGTGTTGTACTTCTCCATTTTCCACTTATTTTTATTTATTTATGTACAAAATGACTGTTTCACCAGAATCTGTTTCAAATACAAAACAGGACAAGAAATCCCTCTACTTGTAAAAGCTTTCAGACATGTACTATGTACTTTAGTGACTTTTGAGTAATTAGTTACATAATTGTTATTTGACTTTGCTGTCATAATATTGATAAAAGGTGGGGACTGCACTGTCTATTAAAATTTTCAGCCCTCTAACATCATTTACATAATGATACATAATTTACAGGTGAAATTTCTTTAATGTTAAAACTATAACTGTAGTCAATTTGAATTTTGAATATTCTTTATATCAGATAAAAGGAAAGAATAATGACAATAACCTTGGTAATATTATGAGTCATAAGATTGATCAAACAATACAGTGTTATTATAGCATTTTTTTTACCAGTTAAAAATTATAATCTCTAGCCAGACTATGCTATTAATCACTATGGAAATTCTGTTCTGCTATGGACAGTACTGTTCTGATTTCTAAACTTTCAACATTTGAGTCCCGGCTGTTGGGTGCAGATTAAACATGTGATTTTTCTGTCTCTGTCACATATATAATATATACATGTATCAAAAGACTTACATTTAAGAAATTTTAAGGTGAAGTCAGTCATATCATATATAGTAAGCAATGTATTTTTGTTTTTCAATTTCAAAACATAGTTATAACAAAATCCGTGTACCAGTAAGTGATACTTTTTTGTTAATATAATATTTCAGCATATTATGATGTTCTTTATTGTAATAACAACCAAACTGATGTCATTTCATGGGTTTTACTATTTTTCATGAATTCTTTTCTGTAATAAAATCTTGTCAAACATACAGATATCATCAAAGGAAGAGGAAGAAAACATCTAGCATGTTGAAAGTGTAGCAAAAAATAGACACATAAAGTTCAAGTACATTCAAGGTCAAGTTAGAAGAGAAGGATTGATCTGTTTGATCTTAGATGATTCTGATGAGAGAAAAAGATAATGATTGTCAATGACAGGGTCACAATAGAGACATTACTGATTGCTCTGATAGAATATATCCAATATTTTTATCAGACACACTTATTTCACTTCTGATTTATATTTCACACTAAGATGAATGAAATGTGCACGATCAACAGAATTCAGTCAACCCACTTCACATTTTTTTTATAAAGTAGACTTGTCTTGGTTTGAATTTTGAATAAGTCAATGTTGATGTCAAGGGGGGTTCTGAATAAAGATACTTAGATACCAGAATAGAGCAGCAGACTACCAGTATATATATAGAGTTTGGTCAGACTGCACCGTATATTTGTATGCGAAGCCAAGCTGGTCTAGCCTATAGTCTTGGAATGATTTCACACTTACATGTACATCCAATGTATCAAAATGTATTTTGATCGATAAAGTGGTGATTTTAACATTTAGCAATTATGTTGTATTATGTACAAAATCAGTCACACAGACAGATTGGAAAAGCTAGTATACTAATTGATAAATTTTGTCATCTTTTAACAGTTAGTAATTCATTAACCTTGATTTAGTCATACATGTACATGTTGAGTGATGGTTATAAAGGGTGGTAAATTATGATAATGTATCCTTGTAGGTCTGTGTTACTGTACCTTACAAGGATATGTTTTAACCATTTTCCATAAACACTGCATGTATATAGATATATTCATTCAATGAAGATATGAAACTTATTTGATGCAGAAAACAATGTCTATTCGTATGATAACTATTTTGCAAAGTGCCTAGAGGGCACCCACATTGGTAAGGGACAGCTATTTGCAAAGTGCCCAAAAGGAAACCCACAGTGGTAAGGGACAGCTATTTGCAAAGTGCCCAAAAGGAAACCCACATTGGTAAGGGACAGCTATTTGCAAAGTGCCCAAAAGGAAACCCACATTGGTAAGATACAGCTATTTGCAAAGTGCCCAAAAGGAAACCCACAGTGGTAAGGGACAGCTATTTGCAAAGTGCCCAAAGGAAAACCACATTAGTAAGGGACAGCTAATTGCAAAGTGCCCAAAGTAACCCACATTGGTAAGGGACAGCTAATTGCAAAGTGCCCAAAGGAAAGAACCCACAGTGGTAAGGGACAGCTTTTTGCAAAGTGCCCAAAAAGAACCCACAGTGGTAAGGGACAGCTATTTGCAAAGTGCCCAAAGGAAACCCACATTGGTAAGGGACTGCTATTTGCAAAGTGCCCAAAGTGAACCCACAGTGGTAAGGAACAGCTAATTGCAAAGTGCCTAAAGGAAACCCACAGTGGTAAGGGACAGCTAATTGCAAAGTGCCTAAAGGGAACCCACATTGGTAAGGGACTGCTATTTGCAAAGTGCCCAAAGGAAACCCACAGTGGTATGGGACTGCTATTTGCAAAGTGCCTAAAGGAAACCCACAGTGGTAAGGGACAGCTAATTGCAAAGTGCCTAAAGGAAACCCACAGTGGTAAGGGACAGCTAATTGCAAAGTGCCTAAAGGGAACCCACATTGGTAAGGACAGCTATTTGCAAAGTGCCCAAAGGAAACCCACAGTGGTATGGGACTGCTATTTTGAAAGTGTCCAAAGGAAACCCACAGTGGTATGGGACTGCTATTTGCAAAGTGTCCTAAGGAACCCACAGTTGTAAGGGACAGCTATTTGCAATGTGTCCAAAGTGAACCCACAATGGTAAGGGACAGTTATTTGCAAAGTGTCCAAAGAGAACCCACAGTGGTAAGGGGCAGCTACTTGCAAAGTACCCAAAAGGAACCCACAGTGGTAAGGGGATGCCACTTACCCTTATCATGCTAAATATAATGCATTTACAAGTTTATGATGAATCTTTCTGTCTAAACAAAACCATAAATTTTAGGGCACATCTCAAAATATTTACTAACTAAAGAAGCGAACAGGGCACCAAAGTACCGACTGATCTTGGATTAGCACTGATTTTAGTCTGCACTGATTGCATGGGTAGGTCAAGGTGCCGGCTGATATTGTAAAATGGAGTCATTTTCCTGTACAACAGCACATTTATCATAGTCATGTCTGTGAAACTTTAGACCTGACAAAATATTTATCTTATGCTATCTTATGTCTATCCAATATCTGTAAATTGAAGTTTCATTTTGAACACTTCAGACTATCAGCACTAAACGAGTGTTTGATACTTAAAGATTAGTGTTCAGATTTCAGTTGTTTTGAACATTTTCAATATTGTTTACATGTCAAATTTATTTGGCCACTGTACTATCCATATTACTGCATGCATTAAGTCTGTATGAAATATGTTGTGTAACAGTATTGTTTACTTATATAAATATCAAGCTTACAATAGTATAAATTACACTATTGTAAAAACGGTAAATGGGTAATATTGTCCACAAGTCTCAAAGACTTTGAATATAGCTTTTGTTGTAATATTTATACAGATTGGAAATACGAAATTACATGGTTTATAAGTTTATAAAGAATGGATACACGCACAGTTTGCAAACTGAAAAAGGAATTCTGCTGAGTAAAAGAAATTCTAATAGGGATAAAATATATTAAAATCTGTATGTATTAAAGTAAGTTAAATAGTTAATTTCTTTAATAATTCAATATTAATTATTTGATTTAAAAGTGAACTTAAATGTATTTGGTGAGATTGTTTTGCTGTCTCAATCTGTGGTGTCTCAGAGGTAGAGGCGTTATTAGGATTTGAATCATGGTGACTTGCAGTAAGACCATGTTCTACTTAAGCACCTAAGTTAAGCATTTTGCATTTAATATCATCACTGAGTCAATAATGCACAGTTCCAAAAAAATGGATAATAGACAAGCCCATTTAAGAAATTCAGCCTGTTAAGGACATTTTATGAATATACATATTGACTTTTGGATAGGTGCAGGTTCATACAGATGGACCTTAAATTTACAAAGAGTGAATGGGAAATAAACAAAAATAATACCAAGATCATCCATTAAACTGATATTTAGTGATAAAATTCAATAAAGAAATGAATTTTGCTATATTTAGCTACAAAAGATGTTTGATATAAAAAAAAAATTAAACTGATATTATATTTACATACTATGAATATTATCTATAGTATCTAAACCAAAGGCTTCGTTAACCTCTAATACGTGTTTTATATTTACATTTAATGTGCGATTCTCTATCAAATCATCTACTATAACTTCTACATGCTAAAGATCTTGAAATTTGAACTTAAACAGGTCATGTCAATAACACTAGATTTTTATGGTTATACAAAATCTACAACATTTTTTATAGCTTTGTAGAAACTCAGCCAAGGATTTGATTATTGTTTATAAATTTTCTGCTAGTTTGGATTTTTTTATATTGCATATAATTGATTATTAAAAGAAAGTCAATGTGAGTGAAATTATTGTAGATAAATAGTTTGTTGAAAAGTGTGTGTCTCTTTACTCAGACTGTTCATATGCTTGAATGCAGTTTATTCTATGTTGTTGTTTTTTGTACTGCTGCAAGACTTCCCAAGTTATGATGACTGTTAAGTTTCAGGACTGTTCAGTTTTAGTACTGTTTAAGTCTGTTTAGACCTAAGACTGTTCAATGATAGGACTTTTTAGTATCAGGACTGTTCAGTTTTAGGAATGTTTAATCAGAAGACTGTTCTGTTTTAGTTTTATGACTGTTACATGTAGTTTGAGGACTGTTAAGTTTTAGGACTGTTTAGTTTGAGGGCTGTTCAGTTTGAGGACAGTTCAGTTTAAAAACTGTCCATTTTGAGTGTTGTACAGTTTGAAGACTGTTCAGTTTTAGTTTTAGGAATTTCAGTTTGAGGACTGTTTTGTTTTAGTTTAGGGACTGTTCAGTTTGAGGACTGTTTAGTTTGAGGACTGTTTAGTTTTAGTTTAGGGACTGTTCAGTTTGAGGACTGTTCAGTTTAAGGACTGTTCAGTTTGAGGACTGTTTAGTTTGAGGACTACTAGTTTTAGGATTGTTCAGTTTAAGGACTGTTCTATTTGAGGACTGTTCAGTTTGAGGACTGTTCAGTTTGAGGACTGTTTAGTTTTAGGACTATTCAGTTTAAGGACTGTTTAGTTTGAGGACTGTTCAGTTTGAGGACTGTTTAGTTTGAGGACTACTAGTTTTAGGACTGTTCAGTTTGAGGACTGTTCAGTTTAAGGACTGTTCTATTTGAGGACTGTTTAGTTTGAGGACTGTCCAGTTTCAGGACTGTTCTGTTTGAGGACAGTTCAGTTTCAGGAAAGTTCAGTTTAATGACTGTTATTTTGAGGACTGTCCAGTCTGTTTAATTTGAGTAGTGTTAAGTTTGAGGACTGTTCCTTTTGAGGTCTGTTCAGTTTGAGGACTGTTCAGTTTAAGGACTGTTTAGTGTAAGGAATGTTTAGTTTGAGGATTTGATCTGTTTAAGGACTGTTCAGTTTGAGGACTGTTCAGTGTAAGGACTGTTTAGTTTAAGGACTGTTCAGTTTGAGGATAGTTCAGTTTGAGGACTATTTAGTTTGAGGATTGTGCAGTTTAAGGACTGTTGAGTTTTTTTTTTTGAGGACTGGCATGTGTTTAGGACTGTTTTGTATTAGACCTGTTTGCTTTGAAGACATCCACTATATACCTTTAGAATCTAAAGTATTCTGCCAGTATGGTCATTTCTTGGATTTCAGAACAAGACTTGCTGGGCAAAATGATACAATCAACCTTTCTTTGTATTCAGACATACTATGAACATAAGGAGCAGTGGATTTTATTGATAAATGAATTGTATAAAATTAAAATTAAACCACCAATTGGTATAAGTAAGATGTCTTTTATAATGGTTATTGTAATTTGTTTATTTTCAGAGTAGCACAGTTGACAAGCGGCATGCTGTTGTAACATTTGATCACTATCTAAGAAGATTTAAAATCAAAGACCTTAGCACAGCTAATGGGGTAAGATTCTGTTGTTTTCTGTACAAATAAGAAAACTTGAAGATTTTATACCTTCCTAGATATAGATGTTGTATATTGTAAATGAGTAATGGTGATTATTTTAGAATTTATTTTGTTTTAGTTTATGGCATGTTTTGAACAATTAAACCGCCTCCATGGTCGAGGGGTTAGAGTCGATGACTTCTAATCCAGTTACCTCTCTGGCGTGGGTTTGATCCCTGGGAGATGCTTTGGTAGTTTAGCTTGGAGGAAGGTAGTCTTAGAGTACTGGTGTAACTCTCCAGGAACGATGGTTAGGAAACTACCCGCCTATATGACTGAAATTCTGTTGGGAAAAGGCGTAAAATGAAACAAACAAAGAAACAAACAAAGTTTTGAACAATTATCAATAAATATCATAATTGTGTTTAAAAAGATTAACTAAAACTTACTAATATGAATTACTCTGTTGCCTATATGTTGTAGAAAGAATATACCAAATCTTAAGTTTTTCATCTTCATATTTTTAATTTTATACTTCAACATCTCCTACAGCTCTTGTTTACAAGGACTGCTCAAAACTCAAAATATATTTACATGTTTTTTTTCTTATAAAGTATAAATTGAATCATTTGACCTATTTCATTATATTTTTGTGAATTAAATCTAAAATTGTTAAAATAGGTAATTGTACCTGTTAAAAATGGGTACATTTAAACTACAGAATTACTTTACAAAGTGGTGTAAATTGCATATCATTTATTCAAGCATCTCAAATTTCAAGCTTAAATTACTGATATATCTTTAAGTAAGTATTAACTTTTTAGCAAGAAAAAAAGATCAAATGAATTTGTTATCTTCATTGGAACAAATTTATGTCATAAATTCAATTGGTTCACTTGTTTTCACAATTTATCTTGTTAAAGAATATCAATTAATGTCTAAACAAGCCTTTTAAGGTTATACAAAAAGACTTATAAAGTTTCAATACTTTTAAAGAAACCTATTCACAGATAAAGGGAAAAAAATGAAATCAAAATATTTCCAGATTTACAATGAAATGTTGTCGGAATAAGTTGAAGAGTATCTAAGCTAACCTGAGCTCAGATATTATAATTATTGTTGTTTTGTGGTCACCTGTCATTGTTTTGTGGTCACCTGTTTGTCTCTGTTTCTGTCTGTTGTCCAAAACTGTTTCTTTTGACATTTTCTTAAAAAATTTAATACTTTCTAAATTGTGTCTTTAATACAATTGCCATGGCATTTTAGTATTTAAGGACTGTTAAACCTAAAAAGATAAAAACAAATGTAATCATATTTTGCTGATATATTAATGAATGCATTAAAACTTTCTTTAAAAAAAATACCTGTGCTTTTATAAATTAAAATGAGTATATTTTAATCATAATTTTGGATGCGCCTTTAGATAACAACAATGTTTTTACCATAACCATTAAAGGTGTTGACAAAAAGTTAACATTCAGGTTATATATAGATGTTTGCGAATCACGATACAGAATATGTAAACTTGAAATCAGGTGAATTAAAATATTTAATGAAAGTGGCAGGTAACGGTGACTGGATTTAAAAGTTTACCAAATTCATGGTTTCAAAGTTATGTAAATATCTACCATTTGCAAAAAAGGATTTAAAAGGAATTAGAATGTTTTAGGGATAAAGGTAAAGAATTTAAGAGGGTTTTTAAAAATCATATTTTGAAGTTTGCTCCGTAAAATTTTATGAATTTATGAATCATGTACCTAATGTAGGCAAGCCCTTCATTCAGTATTTTGTGATTTTAAATAGTGTAGTTTTTCATGCATGCTGTGTTGAATTTAAATCACTATGAAAAGGTAAAATTAAAAAAAAAAATGAAGGGTATTTTTAAAACATCTTTGGAGTACTGACTGAGCAATGACGAGCCTGATATGGTGATGACTGTTTTAGAACAAGGTCAGTCTGTACATCTCTGCAGACTCTCCAATATTTAGTATGGGTCTTTTCAAATGTACAATGTGAGGGGCAAAGTATATTTCTTTCATTTATGCTTTAGTGATTTGTTTATTATGTTTAGTCAAAGTTATAAAGTGGCAATGGGGCTAAGAGGGTAACATCTCAGACTATATAATCTAAGGATTGCTGGCTGTGTGGGTTCAAAGCCCATCAGGGGGCAAGCCTTCAATACATTGAGCAATATATTTTACACTTATTACACCACACAGTACAGGAATAGATTCAAGAGTGTGTCTATAAGCTTATGGCTTCCTACACAATCAGACTAAAATAAATTCTATATTAACTAAAGGTCAAGAACATGCAACTTCAGGAACTTTTAAGCATTTTAAGTGCAGAGATATTTTGTTTCAATGCCATATTGTTTACATAAAAAAATGTAATTTTATCAAAATCACAGATCACTTATTATAATTATATCAAACACCATCCTACCCTGATTGCCCAAGGGATGCCACTGAAGTGATGTTGGCATTAATTGTCAGCCCACCTTTCTCGGCTTTTTATGGCACTGTTATACCATCAGTCGAAAAAATGAATTGTAAATGAATAAATATTTCACAATTCTATATTTGGCTTATAATTCTGGCGTACCATTGTGATAATAGGAATCATAAAGTAATGAATATTTGATAACGTTGGATTGTGAACTGTGTGAGGCTTGCTCGTCTGTGACTGCTGATTGACGTAGCTAATTAGGACCAAAGTTAAAATACTCTGACTGTACATGAGTATACCTTATATCCCACTATGCTCATTGTCATGCAATCTCATCATCATGATAGATTTTGCTGGGTTTTTTTAAATTCCTTTTAGGATGATATAGTTGAACAAAAAAGATGTGCATATGCAGACTTTTATTTGATAGTATATTATACAGACATTTTCAGACATGCAAAAAAAAATGTCAATTTTTTTTTTTTCAGAGAATTTTGAATGATTGCCTATATGTAAATTGAAGGATATGTTAAAGCAGCACGCCTCCAGATTCATGTTAATTTTCACGAAAATTTTGAAAATCTATTTGAAAGTAAAATATTGTCAGATGAACATATACAGTTTTTTACATATTTCACTCGGCACTTACAATCTATGCAAATAACCGAAAAGAGGTCAAAATATGCAAAAACAGCCGTTACTGTGTTAGTAACGCAGTAGAAATATGGTGATAAAATACAGCAAAATTGGTCTTAAATTGAAATAACATGAAACTTTAACATGAATCTTGAATGTTTTTACCTTTCTTAAAATATTAGTACAGTTTTCTCAATTTTTATTTTCTTGAAATATTTATGCTCATCTGGAGGCGTGCAGTTTTAAGTCAGGAATCATTAATTAATGTTTTTACTTGTTATTTTCAGACATTTGTGAATAAGAATCGTATACCAGAACAGGAGTATGTGATTCTAGAACAACGAGACACTGTGAACCTTGGCCAGGATGATATCCTTTTCAAATTAGTACATATAATAGATAAAATGTTTTAATTTTTGTCTAGAATATTCAATACAGGAAGATATATAGGTTCAAGATTTTATAATAGAGTTAAAGTAAGCTAAAACTGCAATCTTAGTCAACCACTTGTAAAGCAGTCTTAAAATATCTCTCAGTAAACCAGTAAATTTGGTAAATCAGTCTCATATTCCCAAGTCTCGAAATGAAACTTGCATAGGTTAAAATGATTAGTATGTCGTCATGTTCTTCTAATTATACTGAAACCTGTACAAGTGGGATTGTTTTGTTTTTTTCTAACATAACAAATTCCTCTTTTAGGTTTTATAGGTTTAAGCTTGACATTCATGCTACATTAAGAACATTTATAAAACCTAAGAATAACTACAGAATGGTCATAATACAGTATTTGGTAATATTACTAAATGGTGAAATGATGCATAGAAAGTCAACTTTAGTAATAATGATTGGTTTAAGAAACTGTTCAGATTTATTTCTGGTCAGTTTATAATAGGATTATGATAATACACTTGAGATAAGCAGGTAGATTGTTCATTGATTTCTTATATAACAAACAACCTGAGGAATTTAAATATTTCTATAAGGTCAGTTTAACTACCAGACTACATAATACAGTAAAATAAATATTCCCCAACAATAGGTTGATATTAAAGGTCCTACCCTGTATATGGCTGCAAATTTAATCGGTCAATAAGAATTTCAAGTAATTAGAGCCCCCAATCTTTTTTTTAAAGTAACTAAAAATTTAAAACATATGCATTAGCCTCAGTTGCATGGCTTAGACTTAGATATCAATTCTTGTTCATCATGCTCAGAATTGATGAATTGCCAGTCATGAAATGAAAGAGGCTTATTTCAACGAAAAAAAGTATCAATTTTATTGTAAACAAAAATTTAAGTAGTAATCATCAACACGAAGAATTTGCCAAAATTTATTTTTTCCATGATTTAGTGTTACTTAATGGCCTTTCCCTGCCAGCACAAATTGCCAAATGTTTATTATAAGTACCGATGTATGAAACTTTTTCTTTTCCTTGACATTTTGCATATAGTATAGCATTCCAAATGGAGAAAATTGAAGATATACCAAGAAATGATCAGGAAGGGGAGGAAATCTATCAGCAGATTGAAGATGAGTTACCTCCCTGGGCAAATAGAGACACTGGTTCCCAGGATCTACAGAGCCCTATGGCAGAATGCCAGGTAATTTGGAAGCGATATTTGAATTAAATTTTCAATGCCTTGATTTACTTATACAATGTACTTCATATAGCATTTTGCCAAGGCAACATGTCTCAATCTAACCAGTGTGCTAAGCTGTTAGGATCACCCTGTGTCTTGTGTCTGTCTTAATGTTGACCTTTGTCATGTGCCATTAACATTTAGTCTGTTAACACTCATAAGGTCAGTATGTTAGTTCTCTTTAATTGAAATATATTTAATATTGGGTCATCTTTAATGTGAAACTAGATTGATTAATCTATAGTTGGTCCAAATGTTTGTCAGATTAATATCTCGGGGACGTGTTTGATATTGAGCAATATAGGTCGAAAAACTAGGCCACTAGGTCAAATAAAAAGAGAAAAAAACAACCTTCATTATATTCTGAAGGTCACAAATTTGATTCTGACCTAATGATCTCTATCAAAAAACTCTCTTGTTAATTTCTCTAAAGAATTCAATATTTGGTATGTGAATAATAAATGAATAATAAAGTTACTTTGCTAAATACATATATAGATGGTCAGCTAGTAAAAAGTCTTCAGAACCAAAATGTATGTTTTAATAGTGTATGTTAAGACTAACATCTTTCTCAGTACAAATTAAGTGCACACAGGGGAAATGTTCTATTTGATTATGGTGTTGTGGTTTTAGATACATCTTTGCCTGGCTCTCTGAACGTTTTTGAGGGGGTTAATACATAAAGTTTGATTTTGTTCATGTGTCAGCAATACTTCATTTATGAAACATGCATTGTTGTTTGTTTGTTTTTTTTTTGTTAAAAAAAAACAGTAGCTAATCAAGCATTGCAATTTATTTATTTTTAATTTTGCTCAAAATACTTTAAAATGAGCCCAAAGAATTGTTTAAATTTAAGGGCACTTATTATAATTAGTGCTTTAACTCTTAAATCTTTACCACCTGTAGACCAGTACAAATGATATTTTAATATATATAAACCACATGAAAGTGTTCTAAAAAGATTTGGTTTAGTTTGACCCTAGTTTTGATCCAAATCTTAATACAATAACAGGAAAACCACAATGTAAAATATTACATTATTTCTGGTTTGATTGTTCTTTTTAATCATTGTTGAAAGTGGCTATGATTCAACAATATGCTTGAATAAATTCATTAGTAATTGTTCTACATTGAATAATAATGAATGTTTATATACTATATACATCACTATTGTGTACATAAATGTTTTAATTTCTAATTGTTTGTATGTGTTTGTCACTTTCGTTAAAATTTGTTGGATTTAGTTCAAAATCAAGTACTTCAAGGTAACATTTTCTCAGATATTTTATTCTGTTTATTTGGCACAAAATTAGAACATTTTATGTATTTTCTTCTTATTTTAGTACCACAATTAATGTTATCTCTTTGTTAAATTCTTGTTGCTCAAAAACCTATCAGGTAATGTCTAAATGTTTTTTGCAGAAGATCTTGTTAAAAGGCAGAATAGTTCTTGAAATAAAAAAAACAATGATTTGGGGTTCATGATATATGTATTTATTTCAAAAAATTAAAATAGAATTGGATGATTAAGGGCTCCAAATTTCTTCATCTATTCCTCAAGTCAGTTGAACCTAAAAGTTATAATTTAACCATTGATTTAATTGGTTCCCTACTGGTGTACTATGTATCACAGGGGCATTAAACTCCAGAAACTTGCTATTCTGATGAAATTATTGTTAAAGTTGAAAATAGTGCAGGTGATGTAAGTGACATTGATGTTAAAAGGCAACTGTTGAATTAATAAACATTCTGAACTTTCTTATGCCCCTATGTCAGCAATTGTATTTATTTACATGACAGAATGTTTCCTGTTTAAACTTTGTTGACTTTTTTGCATCCGAAATGGCTTAAAAATTCCCCTTTATAAACACAGCAATATTTTTGATTGGTGTAATTTTGAAAGAAAATTAAACATGCAGGATTCTTCTTCCATAATGTTTTTTTATCAAAATCAGATGTTGAAATAAGATAGTTATTGTGGTAATGATTTTTCAATATATTGTTCTCACCATTTTACAAGCATCGAGAGCCTGTTGGATATTTCTACGCATGTTTCCCCACAAATGTTTTGGTATGTAATATTTACTGTTTCAGCATGAGATCTTTAAGAAAAGCATGATGTTGTGGTTATAGTGTTCAAAACCTTCCAAACAATTTTCATTTACTGTCTTAGTCATCCAAAAATTGAAAACAAAATTTGGAAGTGGAATTGGAAGGGGAGGGGGACTTTGTTTTTATAGTTTTACTTGAAATACCGTAAGATGGGTCTACCATTAGCAAAAACTTCGGACAAACTTACTTTTCTTTAACATTTTGTATATATCATTGAATTCTTACAATAGTTTTGGGTCATATGAAATTAAAAAGCAATGGAAATATGGAATATAGTTTGACTTGGTCTATTTTTGTTTTGTTTTTTGTTTATTTTTTTGTTATTTTATTTTGCTCATTATTTAGTATTTTTATTTACATGTAGGCTATACATTTTCTGACCATTGCAATTTTCATTTATATTGCATACAAATAATGGGAAAATTTTGATGTTGATGACAATACTCATGGTATGGTGTAGATTTTTATGTTGCAGTTTGGTGTTTTTTTATGATATGGTATGGTATTTTAAAGCTGATTTGATAATATAATATGGAGTTGCTCATCAGAACATACAGTTATTGTCAAACAAGCTATAAATATGTATGTAGGAAGTTGTTACCTACATTTTTATTCCTTTTTTTGCGAGCGTTTTAACATTTATGCTTATATTCTGTGTTAACTTGTTTCATTTTCCCTTTATTTTGGTGGTTTATAAGTAATACATGAACTTTTCTGTTAGAAAGGAGAATGTGCTTATTTTTTGTTTGTTTTTGAAATGTTAAACTTCTGGTAACTGTATATTTTATTATGTAAAAGGATATTTTGATATATGAAGGAGTTATAAAAGATATAAGGATATTTTATGAAGGAAATTTAAAGCACTGGAATAACACACACAAAGTACGTTTTAAAGATTCAATGTCAGGTTACCTTGATTTTACCTTATCTTTGTTAATTGAAAGCCAAAATAAAACTTTTGCTGCTTTTTTATTTGCTGCCAAAAATACAAAACCGGAGAAGAACAATATTATGATAAACTGCGCTCATATTTGTGTGTACTGAAAGTAAATAAAAGTTGTATCTTTGATGCAAAGGTAAATTGATCTCCATGGGAATTTATTCTGATAGATAAAAACAAGATCTGATAAGTGAGTGATTGAGCCACTTTGGAATAAGTTTATACTGGAATAATCTGATAATCTAAGTACTGATGATAGAAAAATTGCTGATTACAGGTAATTTAGGTTTTAACTTACTTGTCTGTAATTTGACAACTTTGGACTACTTGCTGTTTTCATTTGAAATTATTTCTCTTCTTTTTTTTTAGGGAAAATTTCTTAAAAGGTTAACTGGTAAATGTTGCTAGTTATAAACACTTGACTTCAATTTAGAAAATTATATCTTTTCTTTTTTACCTTTCTAACAAGTGTTTGAATATTTGGGGGAGGGGGGTCATTAACTGAAGAAAAAAAAACATTAATGGGGGAGAAAACATTATTTATGGGAGAAATCATATTAAGTATGGTTAAGTATGGTCATCTGGAATTACAATGTAGCAACATATGTTACATTCAGGTAAAGTAGCCAGGTCTGCACCAATGTTTAATTACTCATTGTGTTTTTGTAATAGATTTATTGTTCTCATTGATAACAAAGCTTTTTTCCCTAGTTAATCTAGCATGTTTTTTTCCTGTAAGAACATTTTCTTTATCAGATCTTTCCCATAGGAAAACATAAGGCTGTTCTGTTTGGTACATTTTCTATGTTATATGAGAACTAAATTATGATAATGGAATAAAATGAATAACTCAAGTTTGGATTTTTATCTTTTTGACAGGTATATTTACATTATTTACATTATCCCTTAGTGTATTTAGAGGCAGACAGTCAATATTATCTTTTATGTCTTGTTTAATAATTGTCAAAATGTTTAAATTGCTGTTCAAAACATTCATGTTTAATGTAAAATTTTATATATTTAAGAAATTATTACCAATTTTGAATTAACTTTAGATAGATCAAGTTGATTTTTTAATAAATCAATCATTTTCGCCATAATTTAGAAAGTGTATAAATGTAAAGTATATGCCTACCTGTCAATATTCCAGACAAGATTATTCATTCTCATTTTGAGATAGACAAAATTCTACTTAAAAATGAACAATATCATAGAATTTTAATGGTTTTAAAATCATTATTAATTTCTAGCAGTCAATATTTAGTGAAGGCTTAGTTTTTGTTGTTGTGTGCTTCTACAGGTATATTGACTCTTACTCTCTGATGTAAGGTTGTATGAATGTTGCAGGAAAATGCAAGCATGCAAATGTTGTATGAAATTGTAATCAGGAATCAGCAATCATTCAAACATGCTCTTAAAATAGTGAATAATAGATCTGAAGGAATGTTGGTGATAATAATTGGGGGAGAAAATTCCATGGGAGAAAGTTATCTTATCATGTGATTTATTCTAGAAAACACACTGGAAGCTAGTTTTATTTCCAGTTTGAAAATTTCTGCAATGTGGTTTGCAACTGTATCATTTCATGTTTAAACAAATCACTCTGGATTATTTCATATTTCATTTCTATGTTGAAAAAACTAAAGAGGCTGAAACTCAGGATAAATCTGATACTATGATAATAAGTTCAGTTTTCTACACAATAAGGTAAATTGTTAACTTTATGTCAGGGAAGAATTCTAGCACATTAGCGGATCATATATTAGCAATTTTCCTGACAGGATATAATGCTAGGAAGATAAATTATATTGGTGGTATATTAACTGTAATAAAGAAATAATTGAGATTCAGTGAAGTCTATTTTGAGAAATATTTATAGCAATCTGTAAATGGGAACCATAAATATTTCATAAAGTTATTCGAGGAACTGGGTTTTTATTGACGCAGCTTAAACATTGAAGTGATATAGTGATTTTGTTTTAAGGACTATGTATGGCAAACAACCAACTCTTGGAAGGTTGGTAGTTCTACTGAGATTTCTTTAAAATGCAATAGTATAACATTGCTACATACTTTGGTTTTGCAGAGTCCTTATGATACTTAACCAGTAAAAAAAATTGAAGAAAATGCAGGAAAGTTTCGATTTGACCGAAACAGTTTTAGGGTAACAATAAATTTAAGGAATATAACAAATGAGCCGCGTCATGACTAAACCAACATAATGGGTTTGCGACCAGCATGGATCCAGACCAGCCTGCGCCTCTGCGCAGTCTGATCAGGATCCATGCTGTTCGCTATCAGTTTCTCTACTTGTAATGGGGTTTGTAAGCGAACAGCATGGATCCTGATCAGACTGCGCGGATGCGCAGGCTTTTCTGGATCCATGTTGGTCGCAAAACCATTATTTTGGTTTTGTCATGACGTGGCTCATATGATTGTATATATTTACAGGGATGTATTGTTGAGCAGCGTATAGAACACACATGTGGTGAGAGTATTCCGGAATCCGATTCGGCGCATAAAGACCTCGACAGAAGTTACAGTCATGACAGTATAGCTTCGTTCGGGTAAGTAAATATCAGTGCTTGTTATGGCTGGCCTATGCCACTAGCATTTCATTAGACCATACTCAATACTGTTGGCTATTAATTATTAATAACTAACAACATTCCAGGACAGTTCCAAATTCAAGTAGGAAATGTTCATTACACAAATTCAGTAGCCCAAAAAATAGTTTAAGGGAAATACAAAATATCTTAATTAACAGCTTCTCATTCAGTAATTAATTTAGTTCCCTAGGCAAGAATTGGATAAAACCATGGAATGTCATTAAATTCAATTGATTAATACAATGTGCAGCGTAAGCTTGCATTTTATATCTTTGCCAAATGTAAATAACATTAGAACTAAATAACAGCAATATTAATGTGTTTATGATGAAATGTTGCTAGCTTAGTGAAGAAAAGAAGTCATGATAATGTATTTAATGCATCAGTAATCCCAAAATACACCAAGAACGTTTATCTCTATGTAAAAAAGAATGATGAAAAGCCCAATTTGAAATAAATTGTATGTTAAACACATTTATCTTAATATAAAAGTGTGATGTCGTCATATAAATGTGTGATGTTTTGAATAGTTTTTGCTTTTCCATGTGCAGATAAACTTAAAGGCTGTTAAAATTTACAAGCACATGAATGTTTGAAACAAATATCATGGGACATGCAAAATTGTGTCTTTAGTGTCTTAGTTGTCATAAGTTGGCTATTGTAAATTTCACCATAAACTGGCTTAATTTACCCTGTTTTAATTTTGGAATTGTCATTTCAAAAGAATTTCAAACCACTTGCCCCTTACAATGTGGGTTTGAAACCCACAAGGGGCTTTAGAATCTTTCATGTGAGGCAGCTATCCAGCTACCTTACTGTTTGTCGGTGGTTCTATTCAAGTACCTGTTTGTGCCTGAAATAATGTACAGAAGGTTACCTGACGTCTTCCTTCACCAGTAAAGCGGCCATATGACATTTACTGTGTTGGTGCGAAATAAAAACCAGACCAACCAAAAACTAAGATACCAACATTATTTAGTGTAACAGCAAACTGTAAAATGCTTAAAATATTATAACTTGCTTTTTAAAACCTCTATAACTTCCTATTTAAAACATCTACTTTTATAAACAGGTTAGGATGTAACACATGGCCGAAGAAACGATATAAACCGAAGAAGTCAGTGAAAGAAATATTTGCTGCCATGGACGAGGAGAGATCCCTACACATAGAAGGGCTCATTGACACACCACCTAGCAGGGTATTGAGGGGCACTGGGGCGCCTATGAACAAATTACCAGATGGTTTGTTAATTTACTGTCTCTTTGTTTATTTTCTCTGAATATTTCACAAATCTTGTACAGTTGACAGCATGTCAGATATAACAGATATTTTTATATAATTCCAATGATGGTCCATCAGTGTTTATAACAGTTGTGTCAGGTTTGGTCCTTGTTTTGTAATGGATGAGACTCAAATAAACTAAAAATATAGCAACCTTTTTTACATGATCGATTGATTTATTTAGCAAACATTTCAGTTTTATATCTTATTTAGGTTTATCCCATGTAGATTAAAGTGCCTTCTTTTATTCTAATGTTTATGCATCTGAAGTCAGTATGTTAACCTTTTGTTGTAAAATTGGTCAGTGACAGGTGATAAATGTTGGTGGCATTTTTATAAGACTGGTCATAGAAAAGCATGTATATTATTAGTTATAAACGTTTTTGACAGGTTATATGGCCTTATATACAAAATGGTTATATTGCAAAAATATTTATTGGTTTTCAAAACCTTTAAGCTTGTTTCAATGACATCTTGGTAATAAGTTTTTGGTTTGAAAAGAATATTTGACATTTTTTGTCTGTTTAAAAGATAACATGTTTTGCTGGTTTTCAAGATCTAGCTGGTTTCTTATTCTGCATGCAGTTCCAAAAATGACTTGGTGTTTTCCAAAACATCCTGCTGTTTTTGAAAACCTTTTGCTCATTTCCAAAAACTTTTGCTAGTTAAGAGAAGTTAAGAAACACTTTTGCCAGTTTTCTTAAACATCTTGCATGCTTCTACAAGACACACATGTACAGGTGTCTCTAATCACTTCAAGTTAAGTTTAACTTTCTTAAAATCACATTACTCAAAATGATTGCATTATAAAGTATGTATTATAAGAAGGTGTTGTGACAGTTTAGCTGCATGAAATAATATTTATGTTTGCTGGGAATTCAAGATAATGCTTTAAGATAATTCCTCGAGATAATTTGGAATAATTTAGGTATATTTATTTGAGATTGTGCTGTATGAAACATTTGGTAGGATTGTCTACAGTCTTAACCAGCTTACAGCTTAAAGTGTTTGATTGATGTATCTTAGACAGCAATAGATTAGTAACTGACAAGTATTTTATTCTCAGTTTATATTTTGAAATGTGTGGGAAATTTGTGTTTGAAGTTCCTGTGATATGTAAAATCTCAAAAATAAGTTTCATTCTCCTCGTAACATGGTAAATTTGTTTGTAACTGCCCATTGTAAATAAATGGGAGTTAAAAATGTCTAAAATAAGCCATTTTCTAGGCTAAATTTTTATAATAAACTTGTGTGGCCATGTATTTGGATCAGTCATAGAGTACATATATTAATGTTATAGGCAGTGAGTAACTCATTTATTCAGAGAAATTTTACTTGTAAAGAGTTCAGTTGCCCTTTGTACCTTAATGATTGGTATCATAGCAGTTTTTCACTCAATATGTATTGAAAAAGTTGTTATGCTGATATTGTTCTTTCTTTACTTTGCAATGTGAGCAAATTCCTAATAATGCTAAGTGTATGCTATTCTTGAAACATTTCTTTATAGTCAAGCATTTCTTTAAAGACAAGAAGTACTTTTATCTTTCTGCACTGTCTGACCTTTCATTTTATATTCTTCATATGCGTAGCTTATTTGTTTTGAGTAACTCATAAATGTTATTTGTTTTGCAATCCATTACTGCTGATATCTTTAACTGACCTCTAATACTTGTACTTATGTTTACAGATGTTTATTATTCCTGTTATTTTGTATAATTCTCTACTTTTTGCTCTCTTGTTCCGAGTGATTTTATCTGGGATTATTTTTCTATGGCCAGTTACAAAGTATAAGGAACAAAAAAATCATCACCAGGATTCTTAAGTGAAATTAATTCCAGGAATAAGTAGAAAATTATGGAGTTCTGTTCTGTAGAAGAATTCTCTCCAGTAATCTATTGGTGATAATGTAAATAACCTACTTAAGAGACGGAATTTATGCCAACTTTATAAAACCAGGCCTGCATACATGATAGTGTGGTCTGGTCAAACTCTGTTGTTGTCCAACATACTGAAAATGGACGGGTCCGGTGCCCTCTGGTAATGGTCTGCACTGTTCACTATTTTTTCATATTGTACTATTTTCCCTGAAACTGATAAATAGATTTATCCAGATGGGAATGGTTTATCCAGATTAAAAGATGGACAAATCTATTTGGTATTAAAGACTTACAACAAATTCAGTTGGGAAAGAACTGATTCTGTAAAGATCATAGCTAATGTCTATATCAGTAAAAGATGTAGATGTTACGATGTAAACAATATTTTGGCAAAGTATTGTATAGTTATTATGATTGTTTATTATAGAATACAATATGTTACTCTTGTATGTTATATTACCCAATATATGTGTGGAAAATAAATTCTCTTACTTGAAGTAACATATTTGTGTGGATGCCAACTAGGAGTCCTTACAAAACAGATTTTCAGTGTGAAATCTTCTCTTTTTAGATAAAAACTCGTGACACTTAAAAATAATGAAAAGAATATCAAGTCTGGGGTGTTTTTACTTCTCAAGACTAATGCTAAATTATTTAATGGCACAGGAATATTTTATTTTTCAAGGGTAATATATAGAGGATATTTGTTTAGTTCAGTGTAAGATCGGAATTTATTTAATTTTATCCATGAGATATGGTGCTATATCAGTCAAATATCTTTCATATTTTTTAAAAATAAATATGAAATATAAATATGAAAGTGGGCGGAGTCAAAACTCATATTTATTTTAAGGGACTTCTTTCGCCGTTTTGTTTGAAAAATCTGATGAATACAAAACAACTTTTTCTTGAATATTGTTTTGAAAACTATCTAGCATGATAGAAAATGGTCTAACTAAGAAAATTAATCCGAACACCAATATTTTTAATTCAGTAATTAACGCTGTACAGACGTTTAAAGAGTTGTTTACATGACGTCACAATGTAGCGCCAAACAGCGCGTGCTTATGCATAAATTACTGCACGCTGTACATTTGTAGTTGGTAGCAAGCAAGGGGATTCGTTACCATTTTCTTTGATAATGAAATTAAATAAAAAGGTTATTTTTTCGTTTTTCGTGAAATATGGTATATATTTTCACTCAACATGATAAAATGCCACATATTTTCACTCGCCATACCGGCTCGTGAAAATATGTGGCATTTTATCATGTTTCGTGAAAATATATTCCATATTTCACGCAAACGAAAAAATATCCTCTTAATATTTCACCGAGTGAGCACCAAAAGGTATATTTCACGAGTGGCGCAGCCACGAGTGAAATATGAACTTTTGGTGTTCACAAGGTGAAATATATTTCAATCTTACATTAAACTAAACAAATTTTCTTTTTATTATATGCAAAGAAACGTTTTAAAAGACATTTAACCTAATACTGAATGAAAAGCGCGCCAAATAATAATATAACGTGACGTCATTTACGACGTCACGTCATTAAGTCGGTTCTCAGTACTGTGCACGCTGGTATTTCACTGAAATAACGTAAGGGGCTTAAATTCAAAACAGTGAAATTATCAAAGTGGTAATTTCACTGTTTAAAACAGTGAAATTACCAATTTTATATCACTGATATATTTCTATAAACCACCGAAAAGCATGTAATAAAACTCAGCTATGAAAAACATTTGGTAATTGTTAAAATGTTTCTTCTTCAAATCTGTTAACAGATTAGATGTTCTTAGACGTTGTCCATAATTGTATCCCTCACCCCCTCTCCATGATCTATCAAATATTCAGCTTGTACATAATCTTACCAGATGAAAATAACAGTGGAGTAGAGTTATGGCTCTTGTCAAAAGTTGTTAAGAGAGTTACCTGTTCATTATTTATTGGCTACTAATTAACCAGAATAGATTTTCATTCATTATTTCAGCCTGTAGTGATTTTAAATCTATGAATGTTTATAATTCTTATTGATACAAGAGAAGCCTGCTTAATCCTTGAAATAGAGCCAGGGTGGGGAAAAGTCATTAAATTAAAAACAAATAAAGATAGTAAAAATGGTTCCAATGCTGTAAGAAAGTATGTTGCATAGATTGAGAACATCTGGCTTATATCCATAATTAGAGCAGAAATTGGCTAACCTGATGCAACCATTTGTTGCCAGAAATCTACCTTCAAAGTATATCCCATCTCAGTCTACAAGTGTCTATGTGCATGCAAGTATATCTAACAAATAACAAACTTTTAATCAGTGTAGTTTTGGATAGAATCAAGATATCTTGGAAGGAATTTTAAGAAAACAGATTTTGATAATGTTTGAAGTTTAATTAATGGGTTATGGTAGTGCTTTTCTTGTTTGTTTTATTTCTTCTGTGTAGTCTGATGTAAGTGCAATCATTGTGATAATGCTGTCATGACAGATTGTTTATTATAATTGTATCATAGTTTGGAGACCTTTCTATTGAAACTATATCAGAGTGACATTGCACAGTGCGTTAACTGGAGTGCAGGTATTAGTTACCCGCACTCTAGAGCATGCCCATTGATTGGTTCATTTTTGCTGGGGTTTACTTATTGTGACGGCAGGGAAAGGGAAAGCAATAGAAATATCATATTCACATGCATGTTCATTGGTTATTTTTTTCTGGGGTTTCATATTGTGACAGCAGGGAACGTGTTTTTACTAGGGTGGGGGGGTCGGGCTATGCCCCCTCGTACAAATCAGATAGCCTTGTGTTTCGATGCTCTTTCTATTACTAAAAATGAAGTAAGTTCTTTTCAAAAAAGCAATATCTTGCTTAATTTTAGAAAAATCTATGGGTAAGTAAAATGTATACAGTCATTGTTTTCCAAATTGTCTTAAATTATATATTTTATTTGTAATTTTTACCAAATACATGCACATTACTGTTGTGAGGCAAATAAGTACATTGATTGTAATCATTTCTGCTTTAAAACATAATCCCTCTATTTTTTCATATCATGACATAAATGTTAAAGCTGAAGTTTTAGATTGAATT